ATAGGAAATTATAAAACTCAGAATAGAAAACTCAATGTATGATCATTTCAACATTTAAAATGAAAAGCATTTGGTGTTAGTTTACATACCTTCATAATAAAATTTCTCAACAATTTAGTCATATAAGTACCATATATCAAAATAGTAAAAATGACAGGTGAAAAACTCACATCCAATATCATGTACAATTGAAATAGCTGAAATGGTTAAAACCATGAAGATAATGAAGATGCTAAATTTGACCTTCTTATTAAATACAGTACTATTTCTTAAAAACAATTAGGAAAGGGGAAGAAATAATGACGATCCTAACTTGAAATGAAGAAGGTAAAATATACATGTTCATAGATGGAGACACAGAAAAATCTCAATACTCCATTAAAAAATAAAATCTACTCCAGGTGGTGGTGGTGCATGCCTTTAATCCCAGCACTTGGGAGGCATAAGCAGGCAGATCTGTGAGTTTTAGGCAAGCCTGGTCTACAGGACGAATTCCAGGACAAGCTCCAAAGCTGCACAGAGAAACCTTGTCTTGAAAGACCAAAAAAATAAAAAAAGGAAAATCCAGTAGAACTAATAAAAACTATTACAGTGAAGTGTTGTAGTATAAAATTAACACACTGCATTTTATGCAACATCATGAACTTTCTCAAAAAGTTATTCATTCACAACAGCTACAAAATCATAAACTATTAAGGAACAAATTTAATCTAAGAATTGAAATATTTCTACAATGATAATTATAAAACACCAATGAAAGAAATTACACAGAATACACACACCCACATAAACACAGAGACAGAGACAGAGACAGAGACAGAGAGAAATAACTAAAATAGCCATACAGTCAAACCAGTGTATATCTTCCTATAAGTCCTATCAAAATACCAATGATCTTCTTCACAGGGACAGAAATATGCAATCCTGAAATCACATAGTAGACTTCTAAATACAAAACATATCCAAATCCATGCTGAGCTAATAAAATCAACAAATTGGAAAGCATACAATGACTGACTTCAAAATGTACCACAGATTTAGCATAACCCAAACTCCATAGTATAAAGCAGACACAAAACTAAAGACATAGAATGATGAACTCCTTAATTTATCAGTATTTATATAGTCAGTTGACTTTTGACACAGGAGTTAAGAGCAAACAATAGGAAAACAGCCTATTATGGATGGTACCTGTAAAATTGGAGGTACACATGAAAACTGGATCCTTCTCAGATTTACAATCAACCTAGAATGCACCAGAAACTTTAGTATGAAACCAAAAAGTATGCAACAGCCAAAAACAGGAAAAGCACTTTAAGTCACTGGTATAGGTAATGATATTTTTAGATAGACTCCTTAAGATTCAGGCGAAACAATAAAAACAAAATGAATAAAATTAAATATAATGAATCAGCCACTGCATGGCAAAGGAAACAGTCACAGAATTTAAAATACAACCTATAAATGGGAGAAAATATTTGTATTCAATTCAGTTGATAATCGGTTAATACCTAGAACATCAGATGATAATTGGTTAATATTCAGAAAATACATGGAGCTCAAAAAAGCTGAATGCCAAAATAAAACCTCAAAATAACACCAATAAAATATGCTGAATAGTTAAATGGAACAGGTAAAAGAGTCCATTCTAAAGGTAGCCATGGTGTCATATTCCTTAGCAGAGATGCTCTGAATGTGATAAATGTAAATCAGGTTCCTAGTATATATATGTCATAATATATTCAAATCTACAAGACAACCATTTTACTAGAGGGTTTGCAGTTATTGGAAGTTTTGTTTCACGAAAGGGAAACAATGATATTAAAAGTACTTATGACACACATGTGGGTGAAATCAGAGTTGAGGGAAAGCAAGGCAGTTCATTGTAAGTATCAACAACATGGTCCTTCCTTAACTGGCTTGTCCCAATAGGTCAGATTAAGCAATAAGGCCTGCTTGTGGTGAGAACTGTTGTACCACATTACAGTGGTAAGCTGTAAATGAATATTTATCTTACCTTTGATGCAAAAGACAAGGCAGTTTCCTTTCTAATACTGTATGGCAAGCTCATCAGGGCTAAAGGTCAGATGTGCTCTTGCTGTGAAAGTAAAAGAGCAACAAATGAGTAACTTGTGACTTATTCAAAATAGTTATCACATCTTAGAACAAGCATCAAATGGGTTCTACTCAATTCCAAAGCTGAAATTCCACAATTACTTAGCTAACACACAAAATATCTATTTAAATAATCTTGGGTTTGGGAAAACTTCAAGGCATCACAGTGAAATTGAAATAAAAGATCAAGATATTTTTCAGGAGTTCATACTAAAATATTGAAAATATGTTCCATAAAATAAATACTTAATAACTTAATAGTGAGAAATAGAAAATTTTATTTGTGACATAGTAGATACATACTAGGCCCTGTCTCAAGATAATAAGCCATAATAAACAGGACACTCAATGTCTTCCTATGGCCTCTGTGCATGTGCTTGGGTGCTGGCACCCATACACTCATGAGTATATCCCACATTCACATCCAAACACAAACAAGCAAGCAAACAAATAACACTTTGTGGCGGGGATGAAAAATTGTGACCATATGCTTTTAACTCCAGTACTTTACTAGTTAGCCACAACTCCAACCCCTAAGATTAATATCAACTACCTGTAAAAATAAAGCACTACAGAGACCAATTAAAATGCACAGGTTATAACAGACTGAAAAGTGGATATATTTATTGTTTCTTGAAATCCATGTCTAGTTTATTACTTACAAGATTGTTTAGAAGTATTATTTGGTTTGACCTCCAAACAACTCTAGGAGCTATGTGCTGTTTTAGTTAAAATAAAACGCTAGAATTAAGAGGACTTTAAAACTACAGACTCATCACCAAAGAAGTAAAAGGAACTTGACTATATTAACTAATGTTTAATACAGTATGAGATAAGCATTACACAGACATCCTATCAGTTTGATTTTTGTTTCCCTATAAACTGTGCTCAATTCTTATATGCTCTCTTCTATCTAGTAAGAGGTTATGGGCTAATGTAACCTACCAAGTTAGGTTATGAAATTAAGGAATATTGAAGAGGCCACATATGGAAAACTACTATATGTGAAATAACTTGAAAATTATTATATGTGAAATTATTAGTTTTAATTTTAATTGGTAAATATATAGATTACGTATTTATCAATAACAATGAAACTTTTCTATTTGTTTACATGGTAGAATGATTAAATCAAGAAATTCATCAGTAAACATCCGTAATTGGATATATAATTGTTCTACAGATGTACTCTGAAGACTTATCTATATCTTCCTCTAGATTTCAAAATTACCCATGCAATTTATCACAAATACTGCCTGTTTAGAAATCAAAACAGTATTTATTCCTAGTATAATAATGGACTTTGGGAGCCCAATCCACATAGAGAAGGGGGAAAATAAATCAAAACACAGTAACATATGTAGACACATGTCTGTATACATGAAAACAAGAATAAAACATATTAAGAAAGGTTTTTAGCTACACTTATCGTGAATATATTATTTGGGGCACACTTACCTTTAAATACAGATATTTAAAGCATAGGCATTTAAAACGTAATTGGGAAATATTTTATAAATACTATTTTATATTACACAGCAGAATGCTCATATTTTACAGATGATAGAATCAGGACTTTGTAAGAGAATTGGCTGAATAATTCACTTACTCAGCTTGAACATATATTCATGTCTCCTGAGTCACAAAGGAAATAGTAGACCTCAAGTGATAGAATCAAATCCAGTGTGAACACACTATGATAACTATGTCTACATGTTCACTATGATTACTCCTCAGTGATCCTATAAGTACAAATCATAATCTCTAATTGATTACAACATAGTTAGCATAAACATATTTTCATATATGCTCAAGTATGAGTATTGTTTTTTACTGTTGACAATCTTCCCACTGTACCACTGAAATAAACTTTGGAAAAGAATAGAACTAATTTGGTAAAGAGCACAGCTATTTAACAAAGTTTATATTGTCAATCTTTTTGTATTAACATTTCATTATAAAAATAATGGATTATGATACTTTCACGAAAGTACATATGTATGCATGCATACAAAACAAACATGCATATATGTATGTAAAGTACTTTATTCCATGGCAAATTTTCTGAGTCTTTCTGGCACGAAAACTTTTGAATTTTCTTTCAGTAGAGAACCAAGTCATTGTTACTGTCCCAAGTTTTTGATAACATACTTAATGTAGTATAGAGTTTTTTGAGGTAAACCTTCATTTCTGAATTCCCATTTTCCCTGTGTGTTCTCTTTCGAAGCTCTGAATAGATATATAACATTTTACTACTACTATACTGCTCATATGAGGAGCCAGGGACCTTTTCAGACTCCCAGGTTTCATCATAAAGATGATTACAATAGATTTATTGTACATAGGACGTGAGTTATGAAGTGTTTTCTGTAAGGCATCATCTTAATGCAAGATCTTTCTTGAAAATTTGGTGTTGATGGAAAAGAACACTCTCATTTGAATGAAGAAATTATTTTTTGAACCCAGATTTTCCCATAAAGTCAGTATTTCTGGAAGAGCTGTTGATTTACCTCTTGGCCTATGAATCACTAGTAAGACTAAAAGAATCAAAGGAAAAATTAAAAGTATGTACTTCAAAGTAAGCAATGAGATAAACCTATTTTAAAAATCCTCTTTGACTGACTATGGTTGAAATCCAGAAAGAGTTCTGTAGCCATTCATGTTCATTACACTTCTGAGAAGTTATATTTATATATTATAATATTTTCATAATTGAGTCAGTAAATACATATATTTTGTCTGAAGATCATGCAACCTAGATCAATGTCCTGATATCTTAAGGAATGATAGAAATACAAATCAATATACACTACCTAGACTAAATGTATAATTAATTTTTAATTTTTCTTTTTTCTTTTTGGCCCACATGGATGCCTGTGTGCCACATGCTTGGTGTCCTTGAAGACCAGAAGAGTGTGCTGAATACCCTGAAACTGGGGTTAAAGGTAATTGTGCACAACCAGGAGGCTGGGTGCTCAGATTCAAACCAAGGTACTCTGGAAGAACATCCAGTTCTCTTTACTCCTAAGTTGTCTCTCTAACCTGATTTAAAATAATAGCAACAACAACAATAATCTGGAAAGCTTACTGGTTGTCGTGGTTCTCAGATGCCTATGTCTAGTTTCAGGATGATTTAAAAACAGTTGCCCTACCAGGAATGTTTCTTGTCCTAAAGTCATAGAAAAGTAGATGCACTTCCAAAAGTACTCTCTGACACAGTTTCTATAAATCCCCCAATGCCAACACTCTCATTTTAATCTCCCTCATTTTTTCTTGAAATTTTCGTAAATATTCTACTTACTTATCTCCTTCTATAATTTTATGGCTATACTATGGCTCAAGTACAGGTTGATTTACTATGAAGCTAATAAATATTAACTTTCAGCAAGGTCCACCTGAATTCCACTTAATTTTTTATTATTTTTGTTTTCCTAAGGATGACTCCCCAAATTAATAAATATTATGCCCCAAATCCTAAATTTGCTTTGGCCACAGATACATTGCAGGAGTATCCTCGTAAAATCATGTCTCTCTTGACTACTCAAATGTGATCTGAATAAGGGTGACATCTATGAACATGCCAAACTGGACAAGGAAAATCCCATGAGGCCCCTTATATGGAGAAAAGCACATCAACTGGTTATCTAATTTCAAATGGTTAGCCCTGAAAACATACAAAAAATTAACATTATATGGACTCAATTGGTGTTTTATAATATGTTATATATAGATATGCATATATTCATGCAATAACAATTACTGAAAAGGCATGTTTTTGGAGGAGTACAGGGAGGGTATATGGGAGGTTTTGGATGGAGGAAAGAAAAAAAAGACATATTTTAATTAAATTATTGCTGCAAAAATACCTTAAAGCTGTATAAGAACATATAGGCAATTTAGGAATGTATACTTGAATGTGTGTGAAAATGAATCATTTTCACAAATCTTCTCAGGTAACTTATTGCAATAGAACTCATCCTGGGCGTCAGTTTTCAAATTTACAAAATGGGGATAATATTATTTTAGGCTATCATAGGAATTAGAAACATGTGAGACAGCAAGTATTTTCTGCCAAGTCAGATGACCTGAATTCAATCCCCAGGATCTACTTAGTGGAAAAAGATAACTGACTTCTACATGTTGTCCTCTTAGCAACCATACATATGCTATAGTGCATATGCACCTCCACACATAAAATAAATAAATGCAATAATATTTTTAATTATAAGCATGTATAAAAGCATAGCCTACACTAAGTGCTTACAGACATTGCTATTACTATTTTTATGTGAGTGGTAAATAGCCATAAAATATGTAGTCTATTCAGAAAAGGAGTTCAATGACAAGAAAAAAAACTGTGATGTTTTCCCGAAAGATTTCAAATAACTTCAACAAACGTGGTGCCATGTCAGGAAACACTCAAATGAAAGAATTACTACAAATTATATAGTGTAACTTGATACATACTTGTGTGGTTGTATGCTAAGGTTGTTTTCACATATGTTTTACTACTTCCAAAAATAATTGTTATCCTGAGTATCCCCTGTTACAAAGAGAAGTACAGACACACAGAGATTTATGTCCTCATGACAAACAATTGATATCACAGATAAAATACTCTTAACAGCCACAGAACATGCTATTCAAACACTGAAAATTACACTATCTTTTCAGCAACCCATGAGGCTTTCTCAAACTATATAATATAACAGAACAACAACAAAAACAAGCATTAAAAATATAGAAAAACAAATTATTTAATGTATTTTATCAGACCACAATGGGGTAAAACTAGAAATCAACAGTAAGAAAAATTAAAGAAGATACACAAACTCATGAACAATGACCAACATTTTATTGATCAATGAATGTATCATGGAAAAGAAAAGAACAAGGGCTGGGAAGATGGCTCACTGAGTAAAGTTCTTGCTGCAAAACACGAGGACATGAGTTTGAATATCCTATTGCTTATTTTAAAAAGCCAGGCATAGTTACATCTATAATTCTAGCACTAGAGATAGTACAGAATGTGGTCATCAGAACTCTCTGGGTGGCCTTTCTAGCCACCAGTGCGCTCCAGATTCAGGTAAACATTTCCCCACAAAAACCAATGTATAAACCAGGTGTAATGGTGTATGCCCTTAATCCCAGCACTTGGGAGGCAGAGACAGGTGGATCTCTGTGAGTTAGAGGCCATCCTGGTCTACAGAATGCATTCCAGGACAGTCAGGGCTACACAGAGAAACCCTGTCTCCAAAACTAAAAAAAATAATTAAAGGAATGTAGAATCTAATAGAGGAATACACCTGGTATTAATCTCTGGCTTCCACTTGCACATGTCAAATACACCTGCAGACATACATACATATGCATGTATCACGCATAACTCACAGGGGGAGGAGAAAGCAAGGGGGATTGGGAGTGGTGGGAAGGGAAGGAAGAGGGAGAGGGAGAGAGAGAGAGAGAGAGAGAGAGAGAGAGAGAGAGAGAGAGAGAGAGAGAGAGAGAGAGGAATTAAAAAGCAAAGACAAAAAAATCAAAAATGATTTTAAGAAGATAGAAGAAAATGAAAATACAGCATATCCCAGTGGTAAGCTTGGCAGCTGGTAGCTATCAATGCTTATATTAAAATTTTAGAGATGTCAATTAACAATGCTCCTTTGAGGCTTGGAGCACCAAAAAAACAAGTCAAATGTAAAAACCAGTAAATGGAGTAATTCAAATCAGGGCAGAAATCAATTAAACAAAATGAAAACAATACAACAAATTATTCAAGAGTTGGTTCTTTGAAATGATAAATAATGAGAAAAACAGAACCAACCTAACCAGAAGAAGAATGAAAAAACGTGCAGATATTGCACATGTTGTCATAGTCTTCTTCTTTATACATATACAAACTCTTTTATGTCTGAAAATACCTGTTTCTTTGGTGTTTCCCCATACAGCTGGCCTTTTCAATCAATCTGCCTCCCATTCCATATAGACAGCCTGAGCCCTAAGGAAAGTAGTGTTATAAAAACTTCTCATTTAGGGCTGAGTGCTCCAAAGTCTCCTACTCTCTGCCTGTTTTCTAGTTGTTGGTCTCTGTGTTTGTGAAGAAGCTTCTGTGATGAGGGTTGAGATATGTATATCATCATAAGATAAGTAACCGAGACCCAGAAATACAAACTTTCGCATAAATTTTATTTTTTAAAAAATGTAATCTTCTCTTATATATTACTTCTCGACCACAGTTTCTCCTCCCTCCTCTCCTCCCAGTCCCTGCCACTTCTGCTCTTCCCACTATCCACTCCTCTATTTCCCTTCAGAAAAGGCCAGACCTCCCAGGGATATAAACTAAACATGGCATATCAAGTTGCAATAAGACTAGGCACCTCCTCTCATATTAAGGCTGGACAAAGCAACCCAGTAGGATAAAAGGGGTCCCAAAATCCAGGAAAAGAATCAGAGACAGCCCCCACTCCCACTGTTGGCAGTCCCAAAAGCAGACCAAACTACACAACTGTCACATATATGCAGAGGGCCTAGCTCAGTCCTATGCAGGCTCCCTGGTTGTCAGTTCAGTCTCTGTGAGCTCCTATGAGCCCAGGTTAGTAGGTTCTGTGTGTTTTCTTGGGGTGTCCTTGACCCCTTGACTCCTATAATCTTCCCTCCCTCTCTTCCACAGGATTCTCAAGCTTTGCCTAATGTTTGGATGTGGGGTTCTGAATCTGTTTCTATCAGTTGCTGGATGAAGCCACTCTGGTGACAATTATGCTAAGCTTCTGATTATGAGTATAGCATGTAGATGTTAATTTTTAAGTGTCAGGTGGTGTGATTCACTCAGAATATTCACAGATATTAGATGACCAAGTGGAAGGAGATCTTTCAAGGAAAGAAAAATAGAAAAAATTTTATTAAAGTTACAAAAGGAAAATTAGAATAAGAGAATTAAGTGGTATAACCAGTACCTCTTCAACCACCTAAAAGATATAAGATCTGAAACTTTGAAAAGGTTGGAAGTAAAAATAGAAAAACATTTCAATATGGCTTCAAGATATTTTTGAATAGGGCTTCATTCATTCAGATAATAAGAACAGGTATTGACAAATGTGATCTCATGAAATTAGAAAGTTCTTCATAGCAAAAGACACAAATCATTGATCCTGCACACCAGGGAAAACTGTTTAGCTATCTATATACTTGACAGAGGATTAATATCTAGAATACATAAATAACTCAAAAACTAAATTTTACTAAATAAATCAATCCGGCTAATTAATGGTCTAATGAAAAGGACAATTCTTTAAAAATGAAACAGAAATACCCAATAAATATATGAAAATATATTCATCCTCACTAGTTATATGAGAAATACAAATTTAAACTATATTGCTTTCTCTGTCTCACACCAGTCAGAATGGCAGTCCTTAAGGAAACTATTAACAAAAAATGTTGGCAAGTATTTAGATAAAAATGAACCCTAATATGCTAATTGTTGGAATATAAACTAGTCCATATGGCACAGCCATACTACTCCTGGATACATACCCCAGGGAATCTAAGTCAATACAGAAAAGAGGTACTTGCCCACAAACGTTTATAACAATATTATATATAATTTCTAAGTTATGGAATTAATCTATGTACCCATCAACAAAGGAATGGGAAAGAGAATTGTACAAATACATAATGGATTTTTTTAGCCATAAGGAAGTTTGAAGTTATTATGTCACTTTCACAAAGATGAATGCAGCTGGGGATTATATTATTAAGTGTCAGCTACAGAATGACAAATATCATGCTTCTTTCATTTATTATTCCTAGATTTTACATAAAATCAAGTATGACATGAATGTATAAGCAGAACTTCATAGGGGAACAAAAACGACATATGGGAAGAGAAATGAATACGAAAGGGGAAGATTATGTTCAAATATACATTATATATTGTGTGTTTGTGGGA